TTGGTCAAGAGAACGCAGAGAACAAGCAACCCTATCAACAAAATCATCAATCAAGCTGTAAAACAAAACTTTTGTCTTCTGAAGCACAGCTCAGTGACACTTAGGAGAGAGAAAGTAAAACAGATTCTTAAAAAATTATAGCTGCATTATCTGATAATGATCTACTAAAGTGAAACTTTCTTTAAGGAGAGAAGAACTTAGGTTATTAAAAAGGGGTCAGAGAGGACAGTGTTGTAAGGAAATGCTGTTATTTCTTCACATTCAAAGGTCCGAAGTATGGAGATGAGAATGTGTGGGACTGTTCGCATTTTGTGCAAAATGTACAGATAGCATTAAAGGCTGCTCTTAAGCTATCACCTGTAATGTCAGAATGGATGTTAAAATCTCCCACTATGATGACCCTGTCAGTATTCAACACCAGGGAGTGCTTTGGTGGTGCAGTGGTTAGCACGCATGACCCATGTATGGAGGCCTTAGTTCTCGACGCGGATGACCCAGGTTTGAATCTGGTGGTCCTTTTCCGCATGTCTCCCGCATGTCTCTCCACCTTTCTTATACCTACTTTCCTGTCAGCCCACTGTCCATAAAAACGAGCCACTAGTGCAGTAAAAACACTAAATCAGATAGGAACTCTGAAAACTCATCTAAAAAAAGGACCTGGTGGATGACACAAAGTTTCAAAAAGAAGAGGTTTTGTTGCTTTGCAATGTGGATGAGGAAACTAAGGGTTAAATGATCAAAATAGTTGTTATTATTAACTGGCTTTGGAGTAACTGGTAAGTCAGACTGAAAGATTTTTGCTACTCCTCCTCCCCGCCCAGTGTGCAAAAAAACTAGAGGGAGTTTCCTCATTTATTTTCGTATACCGGTATTACTCTTGCTGAAGCCAAGTTTCTGTAAGACAACAAAAATCAATTTGATTATCAAAAATCAAGTCCTTACCTAACACACTTTTGGAAAAAAATCAAACAAAACTATTTGTACTTTAAAGCTGCCAAAATAAGAATAATAATGAGGACCTGAAAAAAATAAGTCAAACACATCTTTAAAGATCTTTGAGAAAGTAAAGTAATCTTTAACAGTAAGTCAGATTAAATTACTGTGGAAATTCATTTTGCTGCTGAATAAAACATCCAATAAAACAACAGGCAGTGTTTCTGCTTTTAGGAAAATATTATCATGCTTTCCAGGAACCTTTGAGGAAAGTGATT